TCTGCAGTGTGGGTGCAGCCTGAGTTCCAAAATTCAAAAGTGGTTTGCGTTCAGTTTAAGCCAGCAGATGATGAGAGGATAAGGCAGAAACTTGCCCTTCCCAGTGGGCTCAGGCAAAAGCAAATTGCTGCATCCACTTCTAGCTGTTTTGTGTTCTTCCTCATTAATAACTTTTGCAGTCTTGACCACACTTCAATGATGCTTGACTTCATATCTCCTGGTGAAATGTTGGAAGCTCTGTTTTCCAGCAATTGTAATTTTGAGGGGAAAAGTGATTTTTCTGCAACAGAAGCACAATGGAGAGAGAGAAGTCTACATTCCACGATATTCCGCAACATCAAACAAAGGTGTGCAGATTTCCAAAGCAGCCATTTGTAGACATGATGGAGGCCAAAAGAGTTTTGAATCACCACATATCCTAAAGCCAAGCAACAAACAGAGAAAGGGACTTTCCAAATCAGATCTTTTTTTTACTTGAGGCATGGTGTATAATGCTTTTTGCAAATAGTCTTCTAAAGAAATGAAAACATCTCATTAATTCTAAGAGGAGTGGTGAAATGTTATACAGTTCTGGTCAGGGCTGTTTCTGAAGAACTGTCAACCGTCTCGAAATAGTAGTTATAAATACAACTTAAAACAGAAAAAAATGATTAAAACCCAGAATTATTGTAAAATAATCCATTTTGCTTGATTGCAAATAAACAGTCCCGCCGCTCCCTTACTTGCTTTCCATTGCTGGATGAGACAAGTTCTCTACATTCCTTGGAGCTTGTTTTTTCCCTATTAAATGATTCATGTTGCTTTTGAAGCTTTGTATTCATAGTTTCATCTTGTATGATACAAAGTTTAGGATTTTATTATTATTATTTTGTTTTAACTGTATGTTGTAAACTGTTTTGAGAACCACTTCCAAGGAGGAAGCAGGTAGGTATGAGAAACCAAGTAACAACAAAAACCAAGTTTTGTTGATAGATACATGGTGTTGCATTTTCATAATGCAGAATAAAAAAGCAACATAACAAAGGCAAATGTTTATTATGTTGCCTTTTTATTCTTCATTATGAAAATGCAGTAGTTTGAAAACATTAGCAAGCCTTTAAAAGAAAGCATGTTTTCCAAAAAGATGTGTAGTGTTGTGCTGCTGTTTTGGAGACACTTCAAGGTGCCCATTTTTCCTGGTCTCCTTCTCAAAAGTTTCCCAAATTGTTACTGGCATCAGGACTGAGCTGTGAAGAACAGTCGGCATTGGGAAGCACTGAGTGCATCTACACTGTAGAAATAACCCAGTTTGACACCTCTTTTTAACTGCCCTGGCTCCATCCTGCAGAATCCAGGGCTTTGTAGTTTTGTGATGCACCAGCTTTCTTTGGCAGGGTGAGCTTAAGACCTTGTAAGACTACAAGCCCCAGGATTTCGTCGGATGGAGCTACAGCACTTAAAGTGGCGTGAAACCGCATTATTTCTGCAATGTAGATGCACCCCCCTGAACTGTGTCAGGATTAGGTGCCGCAGGATCAATACTGTAGTGAAGGATTGCTTTGGGAGGCAGTATGTCCTGCAATAATAATTGAGTGGAGGAGGGAAACTGCAGGACAGATGAAGCATTTGCTTCATGGTTTTGCAGACTGGCCATTGCAGGAAATGCAATACTGGACAAGTATTGT